AGGCTGCCCAGCGGACTGATCCAGAAAACAAGCTCCATACATTCAAAACACACTGGAAGACCTTCTTTCTCTACTGAATATAGGAAACTGACTGTAGGAAAGCTAACTTTAACTAAGGCAACTAAAGTCTTTGTCCGCAGCGTGCATGTGCATGTGTGTCAGCCTCCTGTGCACTTTAGTTCCAGCCCATAAAAGAGGAACGACGACACTTCGCTAGCTCATAAGGGTCTCAGGAGAATAAGCACAGGAAAGGCTGGGAGATGTCAAGGTATTGCGGTGATGTGGTCGCATAGGAGACAGACAGCAACCTAAAAAGAACAGATTTTAACTCCTGAGAGGTTTGTGATGGGGAGCTGCGAAGCTTACGCAGGAGACTTGAATCGCTTTGTATGTACTGTGTGGGAAGAACCTGCCCATCCAACAGTTTTACCACGTGTTCTTGGAAGGCCTCAGGTGCTCACGACATCAATACCTCTGTAACTTTAATTTCACCTTGAAGAGTTGCAGGAATGTATTTTAAATGCATTATATTTACCCTTATACACTATATCCATATAGACACACACAGTGTTAACTATTTCAAGGCCCCCGCAGAGAGCTGTTGGCATAGACAGAACATGGGTCTGCATACTATTTAAGCCACATGCACCATCTGCTCCAACATTTTAATGTAATTTACCAGGCAAGAGCTGAGCAGGAAAAAAACCTGCTAGATGAAAGATATTAAATTTCCCCTTCCCCAAAACAACCCCTGCTGCTTGATATATGAACCTAGCTCACCCATAACTAAAATTTGATTTAAGAACATATTCATAAATTAAAAAAAAAAAAAAAAAAAAAGTCCTGTGTCTGCAAATAACATAATTTTTCTGTTAACTGCTAATCTGCTGCCCATGGAGAACTGTCCAAACTGCTAATCCTTTTGCCAAAACCAAAACAAAAAGGAGTGGACACATTAAGAACTTAAAATTTTTACCTCCCCTCAGACAGCAATTTTGATGATCTTCAATAAATGAGTAAAGAAAGATTTATTTACTGCAGCATTGAAGCCAAACCAGTTCTACATGTTAAGACTTGTGTTTGGCTGAAGGTGGCAGTTCTGGGCCAAGTACTATTTAAATTTTGGAAATAAGTCCTGCACCTGATCTGTAAAAGGGCTTCTAAATGGGAAAGACTTACACTTCAAGAATCAGATTTCACCAAGTAGTACACTCATGACAAATAAGCTTCCACCTTTCACAACAAAAGCAATGATATGCATAAGTTATGACAAACTCCTTTCGTCATATTCAACAGTATCCATGAAGATGTTTAGACAAGGTTAGCAATTTTTTCTTCATTAGAAGTACACACAAAATTAACAAGAAATACAGTACTAGGAAAACTAGCTTGCTATTAATTCAGGATGTCACACACAATTGGAAGACCAAGACTGCCCAGCAACTTTTAAAACTATAATTGTATGCAAACTGTTTGCAAAAAGTTCCCTCCATAGCCTTAGAACCACAGAATAGTTTGGGTTGGAAGGGACCTTTAAAGGTCATCTAGTCCAACCCCCCCTGCCATGGGCAGGGACATCTTCAACAACTAGATCAGGTTGCTCAGAGCCCCAACCAATGCAACCTTGAATGTTTGCAGGGATGGGGCATCTACCACCTCTCTGGGCAACCCGTTCCAATGTTTCACCACCCTCATTGTAAAAAATTTCTTCTAGTCTGAATCTACCATCTTTTAGTTTAAAACCGTTCCCCCTTGTCCTGTCGCAACAGGCCCTGCTAAAAAGTCTGTCCCCGTCTTTCTTACAAGCCCTCTTTAAGTACTGAAAGGATGCCATAAGGTCTCCCTGGAGCCTTCTCTTCTCCAGGCTGAATAACCCTAAACTGGGGTTCAGCCTTACTGAAGCCCAGTGCTTGCTCACTTCCTTGCTAACACCATGACAATCTCCTACTATTCATGCTGGAAAGCTGACATTTCCCCTTCCAAACCCCTACACCATTCCCTACTACATTCAAGCTGACAAGCAAAAACAAAAAAAAAAAATTAAAAAAATGAATAAAATGGGTTTCTTAAGACTGTAAATATCAATGTTGCCTTTCTGATGCGGAAAGTAGAAAAATCTACATACAGCAGGAAAGTCTTACCAACTCCTCTCACTGGTAGCCTAAATACAGCTGCCTTCATGCTTCTTAATCTTAGGAAACGAGACCTCAACCTGAGCTCCCACCCAGAGCTGAATAGGTGGCTATGTGCCAGGATGTTTCAAACCACCAGCCAGTGATCAAAAGCAATCATCTCTGGCAGTCATCGTACCAAAACCTCCCTTCATTTTTCAAGTCAAGGCTCATTATGCCCAGAGCTTGAACGTTACACACTGACCTCCTACAGCAGAAACCTGGAGAAGATGCAGGCAGGAGTGATCATGGATCAGCTGCCACGCAGGGAGCGACCATCTGACCAGGACCCTTTGGCTTGGAAAGAAATCAGTGACAAGAGTTACAACTGAGATCTAAACAAATCCTGAGTGGCTTAAAGAAGGAAAAAGAAACAGCTATTCATTGTCTCTTCTCGCATGAGAGAGGAGCTCTAACTGTAACTCTAACTTGTTGGTCGAAACAAAAAGGAAGTGATTCCTCATGCAAGTTAAGTTATGCAATTTCTTGCTACAAGACACTGCAGATAGTAAAGGTTTACTGGGACTCAAAAAACACTTCAATAAATGAATGGAAGAAAATTCCACAATGTTTTTTTTTTTGTTTGGTTTTAAATGATTGGGGTTTATAGTCTCTTGGGTTTGGGGTAAACTTTAGTCCAATTTTCTTGCTTCCGTCCCCAGATAACATATTCTGCAACATCGAGCACTGAGAACATTGCCATTGATTTCAATCAGCAAAGGATCACACCCTAACTGCTTCCAATTTCACAGGTACTAAGCAACGTCCTGTATTCAAAGGTTTGAGTCATGTAACTCCACACAGACCTCAGAACTTCGGCACCTACCAATGAACACCAGCTTTGCAAATGTTGGATAACAAACTCTTGAAGCAGAAATAAATACCTTACGTGCTGTTAATTGATATTAATTCTACTGAACCATAAAATTTCCTTGTATCCTCATCATGGACCTAAAACTGAGAGTACTTGCTACCATACTGTAAAGTTTCTATATTTTTCCCAGTGTTAACCAGAATAAAAATAACTTTTCTTCATATCAAAATTCATACATAACATTCCTATTAAAGTTATGTATTCAGGTACAGTTTAAGATGAAAAGCAAAGCACACAAAAATGGGAAGTTAAAGAGTACAATAAGTTAGATTTTATACTTAGTGAACATCGATTATAATAGTGATCTTCCATGTTCACATTACACCAAATAAATGCTCTAGTTTAGCACCATCAGCCTTAGGGGAACATGTAACATCATTCGTTACAATTCAGTGCATCTTTGTAGTAGTGCATATTTTTTCAACAATTATATAAAAACACTCTCATAGGGTATATGTTTTTCTTTTAAAAATAGCAACTATCATTGTTAGAAAAATACTCTCCATTTTGTTAGTAGTAGGAGACTTTCCTGAATGCAAACAACTCTCAAAAAATACTCAAGAGCTGGATTGGCTTTAATGGAAATGGTACTTACAGCATTTATCAAATTTTATTTGTTTATCCACATGCCAAGACAACAGAAACATTGCTTGCTGTTAACATAGAAAATCTGAATGGTTCAGAAGACTGGATCATCCCCGCTATGCAGTGAATGACTAGGAATGAGCTTGACTGTCCCTCCCTGGGCAAATCCTGATCTGGTTTAACATTTTAAGAATGTGAAATTTCAAGGGTGAGATAAAGCACCCTTGTCCACACACGATAAAGCAATGAGTTACAACAAAAAGTTCTGTTTTGTTCTGTTGCCTCTCATATCTGGGTTCTTTATCACGCTGTGCTGTGGAGATCTACGTCAGAAACTAGAAATCTAGTTTGTTAAGAAGCATGCAGGAAAAAAAAGAGAAGGCCACAGAGATTCTTCACAGACCTCAAAAGAAAAAAAGAGCAGAATAAGAAAGCAGGTGATGAAGAGTACTATCAACACATTTGAACATATTTGACAATTTTTCCCTATAACCAATGCATTTCTATTTACATGTACTAAATATCTGTATCACGTTCTATTTAACAGTGGTTGAAATCAAAGAAAGGCTCCTTCCAAAACATCAGAAGGCACAATAGGATATTGTCTTTCAGAAAATAACAACTTAACAAATTTAACGCTGATTGCATGGGGCATTAAAGCTACAATAGAATTCTTCACTCAAGACTAAAAAGATCTTTATATGATCTGTCAATACCATTAAAATTTGCTGCATGAGGAGGTTAACCTCCAAGAACTACAGCGAGGTTATTTTGGGCAGGGAGTCGTCATTATAAGACCTGCCAGTCCAATAGAAACTTCTGCCAACATAACGAAACAGCTACTTAGGGCTAATGTCCTGGCCCCATTGCGGCATGGACCTTGTGTTTTCATCCCTCCACAAGGCTTCTTCAGTTCTTCAGCATTTTTGTTGTATTTCATATATATTCTTATGAATATATATATGTATTTTCAACAAAACAAAAATGAAAAGGAAAAAAAAAAATCTGTGCTGAAGCATCTTGACTGTTTAAATTATAACCACCATAGATAACCAGGCACATCCAACTTCTGCTTTGAGTGACTGTTTCTGATTGCCTCACAAACCAGTCTTTCGTATTCAACCAGTAACACACAAAACAAAAGGACTTGAGGATCTTGAAGGTAAAAGCTCTCTTCCTTGCCCTTAGGAAAAGCAATGCTTGCCAGCAAACATTACATTTCAGAAATACATATTTTAACAGTCAATATCTAGCAAAAAATACCCATAAAACAAAAATCCCAAACTGCGAGATACTAGAAATGTTATAGACTACACATAAAAAAAACCCCAAAACAATTACTGCAAACTCATCAGTTTCTTCTCCAGTTTTCAATCACCAAGCTGTGCAGTACACCATGAAAAGATCTTCCTGCATTTGCCTGGTGAACTGGCACACCAAGAGTGAAATATTTCCTCAGCACCAGCTTAGCCAGCCAAAAAATGAGTAACATTTCTCTTTTTCATTCAGTCCTACTGAGTTGTTTTCTGGTAGAGCCCTTGAAGCGAGTGAGACAGGAACAGGAAGTTTGCAGTGCCTATTCTAGAAGAAAGACATAGCATCTAGGTTTAGGCACCAGGGTTTACTCCCTCATCAGAGGGTGTAGGTCTATGGTGTGAGTCAGTGCTCTGAGGTTAGATGCTTTCATGTTGGGCAATAGAATACTTATCTGTAGTTAAGAAGTTATCAGTGAACAAATGGTGGGGATTTAACACCCACTCACCCCCTCCCCCTCAAAAAAAAAAAAAAACCACCACCAAAAAACCAAAAACCCAAACAACCCACAACCTAGCGTTTTTCTGAGTAGTTCACCTCAATTTCTTTTGCCTGGAAATCTCCATTGATTGAAAATAACACTGCCTCCTATAAAGATGAGCAGGCAGTATTCAGAACAAAAGGCACAAGGACAGAGCTATTGGGAAGTCACAGGTGTCCTTCCCAAGTTTGAGGAAGATCCTACTCCTTCCTGATCTGCACAGGTTTGAAATGGAAGGCTTTAAAACTAAAAATTTGGTGTTTCAAAGAAATTTAGGGGCATGGGGCCAGAGTAAAATCCATTAATTATGGATACTGGCGGCATTAAGGATATTCTAAATGTAAAAAAAAGAAACTATTAAAAAACTACCGAAATGTGGGATAGCTTTGGAAGGCACTTGAGTTCTGCTAGAAAAAAAAGATGAAGGAGCTAGGAAAGAAAATTTTCACCTTCATCCTTCTCCACAGAGAATCTCCTTTTTGGACTTGCAGATTTTCAATTTTGGGCAAAAGCAGCTTGCTGCCATAACACACACACACACACAAAAAAAATCTATGGCTTAGTAATAGCAAACTTGGCTTCACCATAAATAGATGCAGGTTGGCATGACAGGAACCTACTGCGGTTTTAAATCGCTGCAAAAGAGGATTAAAGAAGAGGATACTCAGAGCAGCAATAGGCAGGGAAGACTGGTGTTCGACTCCTTACCTGACTGAAAATGTGAACTACCTTGTTCTCATCGTTACTTTAAACCAAATAAGCTAATCGTTAGCCAACATAATTAATAGCCACACTTCTTCCTCACTTGTGGTAAACAGATTCCAATGCTTCAATAAAATCACATTGAGATACATTAGACTCAACTTTTGTAGCCAAGCATTTTTGCAGAGCTACTGGAGGGAGCAGAAGAACAAAACTGTGGCTACATAAATTGCAATTCTCTCTAAATGAAGTGAAAAATGAGTGGCACTTCCGTAACTGAGTTTGCACCCTCTACAAATATCTTGCTAATAAAGTGAAAGAAACTCTTTTTTTGTTTGTTTGTTTTAATAATACAAGTCCAAAAGTCATTCAAAAGCTAGACTTGAGTTACTAAGTTCATGAGTTCTTGCAAGATTAGAATGACAATGAATAGTTAGGAGAGTTTTGGTGCAGAAGGGATATAATTTTGAAGACCATAATTCAGAAGGGTGAAAAAGAGCTGAGGCAGAGTAGATTGGAGACTTTGACCTCTGCAGAAACCATTGGTGTTTTCATGCACATTCATTCACATACACACACATAAACACATACAGTAATTATTTTGAGGCCAATCTTCTCACACACGTTAAAGGAACCTAAACATAAGAATTGAGTAACATAAAAGCTTTTCAAGAAGAAAGCCTGGCCATTGGTGTGTTACATCTGATGGAAATAATATTACACAGTAGTCTTTCACTTCTGAGGCTGATCAGAAGGTGTATTATATTTATCACATCATGAAGATAATAACCTGACAAAGAACGTTAGCATAAAGCATTAACCCATTGGGGAGAAACTCCGGAAGAGGATTTATCTTTTTAAAAGGAAAAAGATCATACTAAAATACAAGCTTTGAGGAAAACAAGCAGTGCCAAGTAACTGGGGCCAAAACGGAGCCATTTGTAGTTATGATACTTGGACTTCAACAGAAAGAATTTCGAGCACATGAAAATACAACAATAGCTTAGGAAACCAACTGCAAAAAAAAAAATCAGCTGAGTATAACTTGGCTATCTCAAAGCATACTTGTGCGAATTAAACGGATCACATTCCAAAAGGCTCCCATACCTAATAAATAGTACTGGAAGACACTGAACGACAGAGGTCTGAGGACATGCAGTCTATCCTGTGCTTACAAAGAATTGTCTATTCTCAGCTAATGAAAAAACAAGTATGTAAAGCTCTCTATATAAAAAACCCCCACCAATTTCTCCTCTCCTTCTTTTGTACTGATGTGTAAGTTTTAGAAAGCAAAATTGTCAGGTGACATTGCTCTGTAATAATTTCAATTACAATAAATGATGTCACTCTTAATGCAGTTTACTATCTCATAAATAACCAACCTGAGGAGAAACAAAACAAAACAAAACCAAAAGGCAACCTACCATTTACCCAGCGACCAAATAGCAATATGAAAGATATCACATTTCTCTTTCTATACTTTAGAGATACAGGAGCACTCTGATATTCCAAATATTAGGGGATGCTATTTGCTTACAATACTTCTAAATCGTAACTATGAATGCACTTAACATCTCTTGGAAGAGCAACAAAATGCACATGCTAATTTGTCAGCTTCTCTTTTAAAGCTGACATTTGTCTGTCTCCTTATTGCATGAGATAAAAGGCAAGCTTTCCATCTGCAAGCTCCAGATCGCTCGCTCAATTGCTACACTCAAATCACAGCACGCAAGGGCTGCATTCCACCTGAGGACTATTTGTGGCGGCTGCCATGAACAGAGATGTCTGTGCTCACCAGGGGAGAAGGGGGCATTTCAGACTGTGAACCTGATTGCGCTGGAAGTGTTTGCTAATAGAGATGTCAATGAAGTAAAAGAGTCTCAGTACCTGAGTTAACTAGCTGTTGCTCCATGACCCCACAGCCCAGGACCTCCATCCATTCTCCTTGGAAGTTGATCTCCATCTCAAAGGAAGGGTGAGTAAACGGGAAGTAGCAGTCTACCCATCTGACTTGCAGTCCTGTAGCAGTGTTTAAAAAATAAATAAATATGAAGGGTGTATGCTTAAAAGGCCATCCCTCCAACCATCTGTAAAACTTGCCTTTCAACTAATGACACCAATTACAGCAATCCAGAGAAAATAAATAGCAAACAAACTAATTTACAACACTTGTGCAAGGCGATAAATCTTAAAACTTGTGGAAAAAAATGACCATGTCTTTTCTAATACAAAAAACACTTTGTGCAATTCAAGCACCCTTGAAAACCAAATCAATCATTTGTCAAACTCTAGCAACCACCTGGCATCAAGCAAAAATGAGCGAAGATCATGGGAAAGTCAGTAATTTTGTTATTCTTTGCACCAAGAAATGACTAACTGCTCCTCACAGGAAAAGCTAAGCCTTTGATTTTTACTTAGTATTTTATGGATCAGCTAGGCAAGTAATTTTTTTCATCAGAACCTATTTAAAATACAAAGCTACTCTTTCTGTATATGTTTAAATATGAAAGTTAAAAATTGATATTAATACACACAAATATAAATATAGATACACAGAGTTGTACATTATTAAGGTATGATATATACCAACACATAGAGGATACTCTGGACCCAGGAGACAAGAGTTTAACTTTGTGTGGATGTGAAGTGTAAGAGAGAGGCACCACTGGGTAACTCCCCCCTCCTCCCCAGCTCAGCACCTCTGAAGTACCACTGCGCAGAGCGAGGAAGACCCTGGCACTGAAGAGCAGCGAAGCCAGAAGAGGGCAAGGTCTACAGTGCTGCCAAAAGCAGAGGTGTTGTCAAGGCCCTCATTATATTTGATGAGTTTTAGTTCTTGTAATCATTTACACAAGCTTTCTTTCGCTAAAGAATTTTTTCTAGCCATTAGGTGTCAGGAAAAAAAGTCTCGGAAACATGAACCATAAAAACTCAAAGAGAATTGAACTGTGAATTCTGTGGGCTAACGCCTTAAATCCAAGCCCATTTCTGCCTTCAGTTAAGCCAAATGCTAATCAGTGTTAGGATCATTAACAACCAGGCAGGTACAGTTTTGAAAATAAAGGGCACAGAAAAGGTTGTTTGGGTGATGGTAACTGTTAACACCCCTGGTTTGATTTTTGGGCTTTTTTGCTTTTGTTTCATAAAAGGAACTTAAAACATGAAATTGCATGATTTTTATTGAGAGTTTTTCAAATTAAACATTTTATGTAGCCTCAAGGATTAGATTTTCTCTGATTACTTCTGAAACATTGAATGTGGCTACAGAAACTGAAACAATAAGTTATGACAGAAGCGTACATAAATAGCCAAAACGTAAAATACCTAATAGCTACGGGGAACTTTTCTTGATGCTATGAACTTTCAAAGGGAAAGGCAGGTTTCAAAACACACACATTGGTACTTCTAGATTTTCTTTTCTCTCTTAAAGATCAACCTCAGGAAGTTACATGAATGATAAAAAAAGCATTTTGATAATTTTACATACAGAACTCAGAAAACTGGAAGTATTAGCAATTATACCATTCATACCTGTACTGTGACTTACAGCAATCACTTTACTGCTTTTTTGTTTGCGTTACAATAAAAAAAAATACATAGATGAAAAAAGTCAGGTGTATACAACAGTATGGTGTGTAGAAAACATTTTTTAAATTTCCCGATCTTGGTACAAATGCATTTTTGGTCCTAGGGCTGTACAACTCTGCATTCACTGTAAAGCCATGCACATACAAAATATCTTCATTTAGCTAGCAAAATTTGCAACTGCAGCAAGAATGACATGGAATATTCAAGTATTTTCATGTTCATTAACAACATTCAGATAATGGTTTCTTTTTAATCATCTGATTACTTCAAAATGAAGCTCTGGGAAAAAATGACTTCTCTGCTTTTTGTTCTTAATTAAAATAAATTTTGAAAGGTTAAAAAAATTAATTTAAAGCTCTTTTTTAATTTTGAATTTTAATGCATATTGGTACTTGAGGCATTTGTTTTAAATGCAAATAAGCAAACAAACAAAAATCTGAATAAAACAAAACAAATTCACAATGAAGAAACAACTCTCACCTTCATTCTGTCTCCAAATTAATAGTTAATTCCATATACCACAATAATTTTATTCATACTGTAGCAGGACAATTGGGAATACCTCTGTAGTTTACATTCAAGTGTTCTTTCAGACTTTTAGCTCTGGAAGACTTTACTGAAAAGCAGAAGGTGCTCAGCCTTTGGCAAGATTAAGCCTTCTAACTGCATTTCTATAGGCTGTCACAAAATAAATGGGTACATTTATTATTTAGATACAAAATATTGTCTTCCCAAGGAATAAAGGGCATTGCTCACACTCAGCAAATTAAACTACTAAAGACTTAAAAGGATTACGAAGATTAGGCTTTCTGTAGTACTATACAATTTACCCGATTAGGCCCAATTTATTTCTTTACATACAGCCTAAGAAATGCTGGCAAAAATGATCTTGTCTAGAAATTTTAGGAGGCCAAGAAATGCTTATTTGTCTTAAAACACAGAGGCACTTAAAAGAGCACAATGCTGAATCTAACTATAGACTGATCACTAGATAAACTGAGTCATTTCCCTAGTCCAAAGAGGTGATTTGTATTAGCAGAGGACACCTGCTCATTTCACAGCCTCACAGTGTTCACGGGAGTCCTTCCAGGGGGTACACGTCCGTTAGTGACTCACGTGTAGCACCTCTGATGAGTAAGGAAAAAGTGAATAACTATTGTTATTTCTGAGTGCTGAATCCAGGTAAGGAATTGGTCACAGCCTGCACTCAAAAGTAATGGTGTTATCAGATATTAAGCTCAACAAGTCTGTCTGTGCTAGCCTAATAGAGTCTCATAATGAAAAAGGCTTGACCAAAGGCACTAAAAAAGAAAGAAAAGGAAAAAAAAAACCCCAACACATTAAAGCAGCCTATTGCTATGCTACAGCACAGAAGCAACAAAGACAGAGACCCAGATGGTCTTCACTGACCAAAAATTCTCGTTGTTTCTATAAGGATTATTTTTAGAGATGGAGTCTATGGGAGAAAAAGGAGAGGGGTGCAGGGCGGGTGCTGGGGAGCACAGAAGGTATCGAGCCGTGGCCACTTGAGGGGTGTGTTGATTTTTAAGTACTCTGCACTTCATTGCTTCAGCTAATTCATCTCACTTGCAGCAGACAGGAGCTGGCTGCCCATAAACCTATGTTAGCTCACGTTATTATTAGCCAGACCATTATGTCCTCAATAAATTTTTTTTTTTTTAAACTCCTTACACTCATAGATCTCCATGCACTCGAAGGAGGTATCAGTACAACAGAGCTAATAAGAAGAAAGAGCAGAACAACGTGTTTGATTTAAAAGACATCAAGTGGCTGTTCAGTCAGAACCAGCAGCGGCAGAACCATCAGTCAAAGCACGGCATTGCCCTCCCGCCTCCTCTTACTGGTGCCCAGGAATTGGGTAGATAAATATGGGACAGCAGTGAATTTTGGGCCATTTAACATAAAGCAACAAATCACAGAACCAGCACACAGTCATTCTTTTCTATTTGCTATAATAAGATTATTTCTGAATCTCTCAGGGTCCAGAAAGCTTTTGGCGAGCTACAGAAGGGTTAGAGAAAGGACTGGAGTTAGGAAAGACTGATCGACTTTATGAGGAAGCCTAAGACAGCTAACCTTGGAAAGCCTCCTTACAAGGTTACTAAAATGAGACAGAACAGACTTCCTACACTGAGAGATCTGCATGTGGAGATGGAGGTGTAGATTAAATTAGTGGATTTTAAGTGTGCACTGTATCTGGAGGTAATAGAAGAAAACTAAGAAAGGTTATCTCTAGGTGTAATACTTGAAATAGCTTCCTGACAGCAAAATCTCATGAAAGAAACTGAAAGCCCATCACTTGTAGAATGCAAAATCAGACATGGCATACCACTAGAAAATGTCATAAAAAGAACTATCTTACATTGTCAAGTATTTAAGACGATTGCATGCTCCAGATCTTTCCCCCTCTCTAATATCCATCATTCCTTTGCCAGTTGGCAAAGCCAGGAAGAAATAAAAAGACAAACCTTGGGAATAAATGTAGGTGCAGATTTTTATGAAGTCTTTGACCTTCCTCATGATAACCTAGTGATCTTTAAGCAACTTTTGTTGTATTGTTTACTGGCATGTACAGTCAATGCTGAAGTATCCAGATAGTGTGGGATGAGTCAGGTAAAGCAAAACTGTCTCATTAAATATTATGAAAACTAACCTAGAGCAACGCAACAGAAGAAAAAAAAAGACAGGTCAGTGATCTGACCTTTCTGCAGGGATCCTCAATCTATCATCAACCTAAGCTGGTAAATTCCTGGAGAAGCACTGCAGAAGCACAGCTATCCAAGTCCAGGACTTCAGGCCTAAGCTAGTTTATGCAAAACTAACTTGCACGGTAGACTTAATCTGCAATCCAAACAATCTGCCTATGAATAACAGCTGACTGTATGACAATGCAACATTTCAGTAGCTTACTGCAGCTATCATCATGCTGTCCTGCTAGAAAAGATGTGCAACTTCACTGCAATATTCTGCTGACAGCACAGTCTGTAAAGAATACAACTGATGTGAAGTATAAAAGGAATGACATTTTTGCTTTTAACAGAACATGGGGCCTTACGGAATATACACAAGAAGAAAAAATACAGAATTCTTCCAAGAGTAATAAATACAGTAAAATATGTTTAAATTTTAAGTTAAAATCTAAGGGAGTTGAGACACAAAAGTAATCAAAAATATTGTGTAAAGTGGAGAGTAAAATGAAAATTAAAAGATGGCAGCTGTCAAAAGACAAATTTCATTACGTGTGTCCCAGGTCACCTGCAGTGCACCCATCTCATATGTCTAGTGCCTAGCATGAAGTTTGCTTCTTTGAATATTACCTTCCAGTTTGTATTGACACCTTACAAGAAGATCAAGAAGGTGAAGGGGAGAGAACTTAACATTTCCATGAATGGAAAAAAAAAGAAAAAAAAAAGAAAAAAAAGAGATATATTTATATTTAAATCACTATCTATATCTTGTCTTTGTATTTCAGCAAAAATATTGGGGGGATAAACATAGAAAATCCTTACAGTAAAAGGCAGCACCTACTTTCAGTCTGCAGGTTTACAATCATTTAAAAAAATTTTTTTATGTCTTTCTAGCTGCTGTGTGGACTGTAGAAGAACTAGTAATAGCCAACATACTGAAGCTTAAAGTGCAGCATCTGTCAACAGTTAGAGAAGGATGTCACTGTTGTCTCAGATATCACTAATAACTCCTAGAAATTGCTCACTTTAAACATCATCCTCAGCATCTGAGGTTGATCAAAAAATATCATTCTTACTATTACTCACTTTGATCCTAATTTTGTATGTTTCAAAAGGCTGCTGTTAAGTAAAATACACCCACAAGAAAAACTGAACTCAGGAACTCAAAAAATTTTTGTCCAGGTAGGATAGAACAAAAACTGGTAAAAGTTTTGCTTGCTGTAAATTCAACTTGAGAATTTCAGGCAAATATTCAAGCAGCCATATATAGGACTTGCTACCGTTATCAATCCACTCTTGTAACTACTGCTCTAAATTCAGCGGTCATCTTAAAAGAGCTTTGAAAGTACCCAGCATACGCCGTGCATTCTAATACTATCCAGTATTTTCTCAACAGAAAGATGAATCAGTTCAGAAGAGAAGCCTCTTTGCCAGGAAACAGCATTAATGTAGCAATTTTAACTCAGGCCATTTATAAATTCAACTCCTGAAACCAAAAGCAGGTATTTCCAAGGGGAGGATATTTCATTCATATACACAGACATTCATTACCCTTCCTCATTCCACTCTAAGTACCAAACAACTATTATTTTTCAGTTTGGTGCGAACTTAGCAAACACCATCTCCCCTCAGCTGCAAGGTTTAATTTATTTGCACGAGGAAAACACTCACAGCACTTTGTGCGCGTATGCAGCAAAGCAGCACATGCTCGTAGGTACCCCTTCTCCTGTCAAGCTTCACGCTGCCAGTGCGAGATGTGATCATTGCCCCACACGCTCCCCAGCAGCGCCCAGCTCTGATGCAGCCCCAGGCACGATGCCGCAGCCACGCTCTGTCCCTCCAGGGCCACAGGGTGCCCATGAGTACGAAGCAGAGGGGGTCCCGCACAGCTTTGCGCTGGAGCTGGAGCCGTCTCTCCTCGCAGCACCCACACCGACAGGTACCCTGCATCCATTCTAACACATGGCTTCTGCCAGACGAGCGCCTGTAGTTGGGTCTGGCACACGTCCCTACCTGTATTCATGCCCACTATGTTACCCTGAAAAGCTGCATACAAAAACCTGATGATTCAACACAGTGTTGTGCGTGCCAGTATTTAGGAAAACCAAGAGAAGAGTGTGTGACCTCTTGGGCTGTGCTCAGTAATTTTATAAGGTGTTCTTTAACAAGCATTAAAGAACAATAACGTATAAAATACAGATTACATCTGAAAGGTCAATTAATAGCCAGTTACTCTGACATTAAAAGACACTGGGATGGAACTCTGACCAAATTTAAGACAAAAATGTAATAGTAAAGAACATGAATGAAGACCCCTAAAATTACTATAACTCTCATTAGAAACAACCCCACATGGCTCTTTCAGTATACCGGCTGTCGCCATCACTCCTAAGCCTCCTGTTTTTATTATGCAGCAAAATGTTTCTGAAAAGTCTGGATGCCTACGGCCATCAGCAGTCCAGGAAAAAAGGTGCAAGAACCTACCATCACCGAAGATGTGAGTCACGAGCTTTGTGAGCACTTGCTTCAGGTTGAACTCCACCAGCCTCACTGCCTCCATGGTGTGACACTCTTGCTTGTGTGCAGTGCGATGACCTTGCTCAAACAACTGTAAGCCTTCACCATTTTTAATGTTGGAAAACAACTAGAACAAAACCACAAAAACACCAGTGTTTTGCATCAATGATTTTCTAAACGAAAACAGAGAATGAAGTTATATTGATTTAAGTGGGAATCTTACCTGCTAAGTCTGCACCACAAAAAAACAAATGTAAAGACTGTAATTTTATACAAATTCTGTCCACTAAACACAGAGATAAACCATCACAAGAACATAAATATTCAAACAATAAGGTTTGTTTTATTTCTGTACCATATCTTCAAATAATTTATTAGCTACAGGAAAATATTAATTTATAAAGGAAACATCTCTTTTTTTCTGATCCTGTTACTTTGAAAGTTATGCAGAACAAAGTGCACTGTACAGTATATGTAAATTATATCCCAAAAACTACAATACACAATGGCATTTATCACAGGTTCAACTTTTTTAGTAATTGAATGATGTAAAAGAAAAACCAAAAAACCCAACACTTTTTAAAAGCTGTAATCAAATGAACTTTAAAAAAACCCAAAAAACCCACAAAACAAACAAACAAAAAAACCCCTGGCAATTTAATGAGACCTTAAGCTGCTTATATTTGATTCATCTTGGGTACAGTTTATTCATTTAAGGACTACCACTTCCCTGCATTTTCCCACACACAGCACCTTTCTGTATACAGGAATTTTGTCTACGGGGCATTTAAGGATTCATGGTCTTGGTCTGGGGTTTCCAGATAAATTACAAAGCACAAGGGCAGGCTGTATTTGGGATGTGACAGACTTGCTCTTCATGCAGAGGCCGCTCTCCACCACATCTGCTGCAAGTTGGAGATTTCTGTTTCCTGTTTCCTGTTCCCCCATACGTTTCTGGCCAGGCGATCCCAGACAGATACATACCAGCAAATCTGCATCCTCTCAGAGACACCAATAAAACACTCTCACTAAACCACGTCGTTGGAAGCTCTGTGTCTTGGGGAGACAAGCAGGCAGTTTTACACTCTAAAGAGAATTTTTGTTGGAAGTCCTTACAGCTGTACAAAACCCAACCCTGTTCAGTCTGGAGGGTCGGAAGAGTTAATGGTGAAAGTGTTTCTAGGGCCCTTTCCTACCCCTCCTGCTTCACCTCCCCATAGTCAATCAAGCACACACAGAAGGGAAAAAACACACATTGAGATTTTCTTTACATTAAGCCTCCCAGCATAACTAGCTCTTATTCAGGAGATGCCACGAAGAGTGTGTAACCTTAACAACTCACGGATGCCCACAGAAGTTGTTTTAATTGTAGTTTGATGCCTTCAGTGCACTAAATGCTCTAAAAAAAGTTCAAATGAACCTCAAATGAACCATTTGTAGCCTACAAATGTTGGGCACAATTAATTAAGACTAGCTTCTAGCACGTTTCATACAGACTCAATGTATGCAGAAGGAGTCTGAGTTTAGATAGCATGCAAACTAGCAGCAAAATGGATTGAGGGAATAAAAAAAATCCCATCAGTAGCACTTAACTTTGTATTGCTAGTCAGAAGGAGACTTGGCTGACAGATTGAGAAAACACCTCTCAAATTAATCTCCTTAGTGTGCCGCAGAAAAATACAAAATAAAAAAGGAAAAAGAGAAATACTGAATAAAACAATTATCCATTAGTCTAACAAAAATGCCTTTACTAATTAAAAGGCAGCAGCTTGACAAAACTAGGTATTACACTTTTAAATAACAGATTCTTTATTCAAGTGCTTACCTGAAAGATTAAACCCCCTTCTTCCTACTGGCATTATTTCTGCACTGGCTGGAAGAAGCAGATGATACCCACCCCATAACCAATTTACTGTCAGCAGGGCAGATCAGTCATCCAGCATGTGGTTTTGAAAGCCAGAGGCCATTCACAGAGGCCAGCATTAGCCTAGGGAGGTTAATCGTCTTAGGCTCACTGGGTGGTCAATGGACAGACACAGCCTCCCTCACACAGGAACCTGGAGTGGCTAAATTAGGTTCCTGCTCTGAACTACCCTCTACAGGTAGCTATTTTTTCTTTCTATTGACTGAAGACACTACCCTCAGTAAGCCAGAAACACCCTTCAGGCCACAGAGACTTCCCCCCTTTGGACTAGAATACACTGTATTTACACATTAGAAGATATATTTATTTTCCCCATCATCAGTATTTTAGGATATGAAACTCTTCTTCCTTTTCCCCTTCATTCCTCCTCTCACCCTCCAGCTTAAAACTGGTTCCTCAGACTGCTGCAAGGAACAGATAGTCTGGACGCTGCCTTTAAAATACAGCATTTGTATCAACAAGTACATAGAAGTAATTTTCCTTACCACTGTATTATTCCTGAAATGTTGATATTGCAATTACTGTCTGAAGCAAAATTCTATTTTAGTAGATTATATCAGGCAATAAAATACGTTCAAGGACCATCAGAGTAAATACATTTAGTCATACCCCAGCCCTCTAAACTGCTGGCCTTTTCATCCTGCCAAACCAGCCATATGCACCATCTCCTTCTCCGTGCCAGGACAAGAGTCCATGCGGCGGTACACTGAGCCAGGCTGGGAGGTAGATCTGGCTGAGAAGTAACCCAGGAGAAGGGAAGAAACTGAGGGACGTGAAAATGGTCAAATTCAGCTTGGTAATCAGTTATCAGCATACTGGTGGCACCAAGAGACACGCTGGCACATGAGACAGGGCTGGGCCACTTTTGGCACAGGTGTGACTCTACACCAGTTCGCACGCTGTGAAAGCACAGCCTTAGAGGAGTCCCCAGAAGACAGGTAGTGGGCGAGGAAACAGCCCCCCCTTACAGTCAGGCACCGAGAGGCACTTTGGTATTCTCCATAGAGGCTCCATCAGCTCCTGTCAACTGCAGCACAGCTGTGGACGGGGTTATACAGAGAAAAAAAGATTCCTTACAGTTGTATTAACATTTATTCCCTGCTTTCCATTCACTGACATTGCTATGTCAATATGAACAGCTTTAAACTGATACACCAATTTCACTATTACAATGATTGAACTGTGCTAAGTACATGTCTTAGATTAGAAACACTTCAACATTTCTATATACATAAAGCAGGAAAGTCAAAGCTTGAATAAAATGTAAGATTCCTTACAGTTGTATTAACAATTATTCCCTGCTTTCCATTCACTGACATTGCTATGTCAATATGAACAGCTTTAAACTGATACACCAATTTCACTATTACAATGATTGAACTGTGCTAAGTACATGTCTTAGATTAGAAACACTTCAACATTTCTATATACATAAAGCAGGAAAGTCAAAGCTTGAATAAAATGAAGAATCACCTACAGTCGCTCCTTTCTGAAGTCAATTCTTCTCAAGCACATATCTGAGCAAGTGGAGAAAAAAAAAACTCCAACAGTCTTGCTGTCCTGGTTTCAGCTGAGATAGAATTAATTTTCTTCCTAGTAGCTGGTATAGTGCTGTGTTTTGGATGTAGGATGAGAATAATGTTGATAACACACTGATGTTTTAGTTGTTGCTAAGCAGTGCTTACACTAGTCAAGGACTTTTCAGCTTCCCATTCTCTGCCAGGTGCACAAGAAGCTGGGAGGGAGCACAGCCAGGACAGCTGACCCAACTGGGCAACGGGGTATTCCGTACCGTATGATGTCATGCTCAGCATATAAGGCTGGGGGAAGAAGAAGGAAGGGGGGGACGTTCAGAGTGACAGCATTTGTCTTCCCAAGTAACCGTTACGCATGATGGAGCCCTGCTTTCCTGGAAATGGCTGAACACCTGCCTGCCAATGGGAAGTGGTGAATGAATTCCTTGTTTTGCTTTGCTTCCCCGCGCAGTTTTTGCTTTGCCTGTTAAACTGTCTTTATCTCAACCCACGAGTTCTCTCACTTTTACCCTTCCAATTCTCTCCCCCATCCCACTGGGGGGGAATGAGCGAGCGGCTGCGTGGTGCTTAGTTGGCGTTAAACCACGACAGTCCTTTTTGGCCAACGTGGGGCTCCGCGCAGTTTTTGCTTTGCCTGTTAAACTGTCTTTATCTCAACCCACGAGTTCTCTCACTTTTACCCTTCCAATTCTCTCCCCCATCCCACTGGGGGGGAATGAGCGAGCGGCTGCGTGGTGCTTAGTTGGCGTTAAACCACGACAGTCCTTTTTGGCCAACGTGGGGCTCGAAGGGTTCAAGATAACGACAGGTTTGATTGGAATGTGCTAGATGGAATTTAGAGCTGTTATTGCTGTTTAGCTATTAATTGGCAGGCTCCTGTACTTGCCATGAGGCTTGCTTGCCTTACTGTATATTAGAGTCTAGTGCTTGTTAGTAGCTGCTTTTTGCTTTCGCTGCTTG